CCCTCGACTTTCTTCTACTTTGATGAACCTCCCTTCTGTGAATCCCGAAGTCAGCTAAATGACTAATGATATCTATCAAAACGCCTGCCATTTGAAATAAATAAATAAATACGTCACCAAAAGGGGTGTGCGATAGACTTACCTCCACGTGGTGCACCCTGGGCAACGTATACTCATACGGCAAAAAAGTCTACAAACCGGCAGTTGAATTCTGACTTCGAACTACCACGACCCCCCTGGTTGTCATATTCGACCCCTTCCACAGGACTCATCTTACCTTTTTCTCTACCTTTGTGTCTGTCTGCCTCTTTTACATCTGTGAATCGCTCTTCCTGTACCCCACCCCTCGACTTTCTTCTACTTTGATGAACCTCCCTTCTGTGAATCCCGAAGTCAGCTAAATGACTAATGATATCTATCAAAACGCCTGCCATTTGAAATAAATAAATAAATACGTCACCAAAATGTTACGTCTTAATCAATGATTATTGGAATACATTTTTTTCCCGAAAATGTTGAATTAAGTAATCAATTCCATATGATTACTTTAGCATAAACAAATTAACGTTGAAACAGAACAGCTTTTTTCTCCACTGATTTGAAACATTATCATTAGCCCTTTAGTTTACTTCAGAATCCACAGAGAGGGGAAGGAAACTCGGAGGGGAAAAAGTCGAGAGGGGGGGAGGAGAGGGAAGAGAAGAGTATTTCAAAGATAAAAAAGACACAAAGGTAGAAAAAAGGTGAGGTGAGTACTGTGGAAGTAGTCAAAAATAACATACAGTTGGAGGGTGATGGTAGTTTGAAGTGAGAAGTCAACTGCCAGTTAATAGCCTTTTTTGCGGTATGAGAATACGTTGCCCAGGGTGCACCACATGAAGGTAAGTCTATCGCACACCCCCTGATTTGAACCATATGTAAGCCAAATAAATCTTGTCGACCTTTCTTTTAAACAAATTATTCTCAATAGATTGATTCATTCAGGTTGACATGAAGTTTAGCCCACTCGTGTAGTTACAAGGAACGCAATTCATGAAACTCCGTGGAATCTTTTATGTTTAAAATCATTCCAGCACGATTTATCTCTGAGTCTACAGTTTGCCAGTACTTTCCTCACCAGAATCTCTATCTGCTCGATCGGTGACCAGTCAAATATGACTTCGAAAGAGACAGAAAGAATGCTTCTCTATTCTTCCCTCCTCCGGAACCCACATTGATCGTACAAAATGACCAATTAGGGAAATGTTCTACTCAACCTAATCACATTTGCCCTCCCCCCCTCCCCGAGACTATCGCATTGTTGAATGATAAGTTCAAGCCTCCCAAGAACATCCCTCCTCATAAACAATTCCTTTTACCATAGGGAACAATATCCGAAGTGGTTAAACACAAATCAGGTGATGCTGCACTTTCTTGCAGTTAGGATCTCATCTCATCTCATCGCCTCTCAACCTCAAATTCCTTGATCACGCACACTGTTCTCAGTGTCTATGAGCTATTCTAGGCCACCGCCCACCTTATAATCGTGTACTTATGTTTAAAGTACCTCAAAGTCATACACCTTAAATCTCCCTTTATCGATATTATTATCAACAGACTCCACTAGACTCCACCATCAATTATGGCATAGTCAAAGCCATTGTGTCTCGAAATGCCATCTGTGACACATCAAAGATGGAACTTCTGAATTCACAGAGGTAATCACTGATCGATGTGAAACTGGCGCATGGAAACTGCACTTCATTCCTAATCACCAATTCCTTCTCTTCGGACACCCAAAATCATAGACGGAAACAGCAACGAAGGATCAAAACAAGAAAATGTGTATCATAATCAAGTGAATAACATTGTAAAACAGGGGAGGGACTCCTTTACCAAACACAACTAGAAGACAAATTGGTACAAATGAATGAAAATACGAATTATCTCATGAGAATACCATCAAGTCCCTGTTGAGTGGAGTGGGATGGGGTGGGGTGTGGTGGGGTGGTTGTATCAAGGTGCCAGACTGAATGCTATGCGAAGAAGGCCCAGAAGAAGATGGTGATGAGAAGTGAAATTGAAGCAGCCACGTTGACAACGATTCTCTGCTTCGGATCCTCTTCAATGCTCATCTCCTTGGCCTTCAACTCGATCACCTCCTCTGCCTCTTCCTCAGTGAATACAGGTTCACGCTCATCCTGCATGCCTTCCACACCACACATCCAATTAAAAGCCTTCCTCCAAAATGGTAAAACAGGCCTTTCAGCCTCGCCTTCAGCAATCCATTCGTATTTCCGCTCCTGACTAACGATCGTAATAAGTGGTGCATCCAACAATGGGTCAAAAACAACATGACGATCTGAGAAGATTAAGCGACGAGTCTGAAGTAGAAAAACGACAATTGTGAGTGACGAAAAATGAGGTTGGGGAACGGAGTATGAACAAAAAATTGGGCACTTACATATGAAGGTGGGAGTGGAGGTGTTAATAAAGAGGCGACCACGATGATGACACTTGACATTCCAAAAAGAAGAATGGAGAAGTGTAGGTAGTGCATCGTGACCAAGAAGTATGGTGGGTTAGCAATCTCTTCACCACAGGGCGATGCACCATAGGAAATCTCCCATACGAATCGAGTCACGCCAATTATAAGGCCAATAACCAAAGCACAGAAGGCTCCCTACAAATGAGAGTCAGACTACGAATTAATGAATCCCATCTCCGACTAAGGCCCATTAAGACAAATGCACGACGTACAATTTCATTCGTTCGATACCAGAATACAGCTAAAACATAGACAGCACAAATTGGAGGGGCCAAGTAGCCAGTGACAGACTGGATGTAGTCGAAGAGGGCATCACTCAGCTGTACAATTGGGATCCACGCCAAACTGATGGCCACCATTATGAGGACAGCAACACTGAAATGATCAAATGCTATGTCATTCACCACCACAATTCGTGTAATGTTATGAATGCATGAATGAGTCACCAACTCACCGACCAACAATCATAAGCTCCGCATCTTTGCTACGAGGTCGAATCAGTCTCCAGATATCAATGGTGAAGATGGTTGAGGAGGAGTTGAAGATAGACGTCAATGAAGAAACCAAGGATGCCATCATGACAGACAACATCAAACCTCGGGCTCCAGAGGGCAGGAGGTTCAAGACCAATGAGGGGTAGGCAATATCCGTGCAACCGGCAGCCTTGCCACAGATCTTTTGGCACAAAGTGGCATCACCACAGGCAACAGTGTCTGCGAAAATGACTCGAGCCGCCATTCCAGGGATAATCATGAGCCAAAGAGGAGTCATCTTAATGAACATGGCAAGCACAATGCCTGCTTTTGCATGAATCATGTTCTTCGCTGCCAAACAACGTTGAACAATGACCTGATCAGTACACCAGTACCAAGTGGCATTCACGGTGAGACCGAACACGGCACCAACCCAAGGCAATTCAGTACTGTCGATTGCTCGGAAGAAGTTCATGGCATCAGATGGGGGAATGCTGCATTCAGCGTAGATACCAGATGGTTGATTTTCAGGATTTGGGGCAGCTAAAACTTGGTTCCTATCAGACGTTGTACCGTACAAATCGGGATTCCAGTCCCCAAAGTTTCCATTTGGAATTTCAAACGATGTGCTCTGGTAGGCCCTTGTAGTATTTGGAATTGCATTGAAGAAATTTATCACCATACTATCAAAGCCACCTGTCACTTGGAAGCCTATCGGGGTGAAATAAAACACCATTTACATTACACCCCCTTTTCCATGGCCCACACTCAATCTCTCAAGAACTCACTTCTGATGCAAAGAAACATGGCTCCAATCAACATGATGACGACTTGAGCAAAATCAGTCCAAATGACAGCAGTCAAACCACCTACAATTTCAAGTTACGTATTTCATTAGTCATTCATGAGCTAGCATTATTTTTTAAGGAGTTGAAAGAGGGAGTGGAGAAATGAGGAGTGGGGAGGGATGGGGAGTGGAGTGGAGTGGAGTGTAGGGTATGGAAGAATATGGGATGAGGGTGGGAAGAGACAAAGACTTACCCATAATGGTGAACAACGCCGAGATTACCAGCAGAATGATGGCCGATG